CTCCACATGTACTAAATGTGGTGTTACGTGACGTGAATTGATGCCGAAATATATGACTGGTTCAAACATGATAATCTCGACAAGCGTGCCATGTAAGAACATGGCAACATACAACGCTCATTTGCATGCTCGTGACCGTTTCGCTAGCTCCACATATACTAAATTTGGTATGACGTTACGTTCGTTTCGCTAGCTCCACATATACTTAATTTGGTATCACGTTACGTGAATAGATGACGAAGATAAACGGCACATCCAAACATGATAATCATGACACAGAGGTCATGTATGGCATCATTTACTTCCACCTCGTAACGTTGTGCTCATTTTAAAGTGACATATGAACATTTCTCATTCGTGCTTCGCATATCATCGATTCCCACTGTACATGGGATCTGCCAATTTTTTGCATAAGGTTAGAACTTTCGAGCGCAGAAGGTCTGTTCTAGTGGGGCCATCGAGTTAGCATACCCTGCAAGGCGCGGGGGCCCATGATCTTCGAACTACACCTGTCACACCAGGGAGCATATGCGATGAAACTGTGGCTCGGACGCTGTTCTGGTAGGGTTGAATGGTGAGATCGAAATCTCGCTAGTTTATGCATGCTATGTGTACAAGCTCAAGCAATGCCACATCGCCAGAAGCTTATTAGTTAGCCAGAAAGAGCGATGACGTGGTCTCGGCTGCACATTGGCTATGCCGGGCCAATAGAGAGGTGCATGCTGCTTATAGTCATCGACCCGCAGACTAAGTGGATCGGGGCACTCCCAGTCAGATCAGTAACCACTGATGTAATCATAGTTGTGCCCTGATGACCGGAGACAGCCAGAATCTCGGGAGATGTTGATGAGAGGAGCCCGGAGCTGTTAACAGTAACTTTTAAGTACAATATTTACAGGTAGTTGGTTACATGATGGTGGTAGCATGATGGAAGCTCTCGATGGAAGCATGATGGCAGCTTCTGGGAGCTTGTGAGAGCTTGTCGAGAGCGCATCGGCGCTCGCGTTTTATGTCCAGGCCTTCCCGAGAGCCCGGGATTCCCTGCCGCTCTTGGTGCATCTCTGGGAGCGCTGATTCGGAAGAAATTAGGGTAGGCTCAGCCACAATGACTCATGCGTCCAAGTGGCGTCAAGCCAGGCAGGCCGATAATAACACCGCTGAGGTCACAATATCATGGTTTCAGGAATTATTGGCATGTTTTGGCTTGCCACAAACTGTAGTGTCAGGCCCCAGTTTGCAAGTCAGCAGCTTGCCCACTTCGTTACAGGCATCAACATAACACGTCTAGGCAGCCCCCCCCCCCCCCGTACCACCCAAAGTCTAACGAACTTGCGAAACGTGCAGTTCGAACTACAAAAGAAGGCCTTGTGAAAAATTCAATGGTGAACCACCTTGAAGTTGAACAGGCGCTAGTAATACTAGGCTACCGACGCACGTGCATACTGGGCGGAATGTCTTCTTCGGAACTCCTGCTGAATTACCAAGTTCGTTCACGCTCGGATACTTGTGTACCATCTATATCTCGTAGTCGTTCGCAGCCTTCCATATTTAACGCAGGGTACCAGGTGGGGGTGCGCTATTTTCGACACAGGAAGCTCATTTTTGTTTTCGGAATCCTTCAGGCACGAGGGGAATTACAGTACTCCAAGATCTCTCACTGTGCTTTCATGCCAATGTGTGCCCTGAAAGCTACGCAAGGAGCTGGGTGGCGAGAGTATGTAAATGCGTACCTTCGTCAGCACCCGTCATGACTTTAATAACTTTTCTTTCTTGCTTTTCTGCTGTAGGCGCGTGTGCTCAGATTGGGGTGCACGTAAAGAACCCCAGGTGGTCGAAATTACCGTAGCCCTCCACTACGACGTCTCTCATAATCATATGGTGGTTTTGGGACGTCAAACCCCACATATCAATCAATCAATCTCTTGCTTTTCTTCGAACGTGTTGCTTACTTTCAGTGTGATCGTGAGCATGTGTGCGCAAGTACGTTGCGACGGCCCGCGGCGACTGACGCTAACTACGCAGCGAATCAGCCGATCGCTGTGGACGTGGTTATGTGACGCGAAATTTGGGTATATGGCATCATTTGTTGAAACGAAAGAGAGAGATTTCTAGCTGTTTTTCGATAAATAACTGTATATTCTATTTAATGTGCGGTTTTATATTGCTTGGCTCGCGTGTTCTCGATTGCGGTGGTATGGAGGTAGAGATAATTGAACTGGGGCTGTTACCCATCCACGGGACTGCCTTCCGATGGTACAGTTTTCCCTACACGTTAGGCGTTTTCTTACTTGCGTGTCGGAACTAGCAATTAAGCATTATTGTTGCGACTAGGCCGCCAAATTATCAACACCAGTGATGCTCTGGATTGAGGGTTGCAACCTCGGGAATATTCAAACAAAAATGAATAAAAATTTAAAAAAAATGTTTTCCTTTAGTACTACTACCACGACGCTTTTCTACTGTTCTTTATCGCCAGCGTCTTCTAGAAGTATTTTTTTGTTTCGCATCGCTACACGCATAGTACCTTCGGTAATTGGCGTGGTCGGGAGAAAGCACTTCAATACATTTTGTGTTACCAAATTTTACACAATGTAGAGTTTAACTCTAGATATTGCATCAACTCACCGTGATAATAAAGTGATCCACCACACCAATATGAAATATTTCCATGACATTGCAGTCGAGCGTGATGGTAGACTTGTCGCAACACGCACGAACAACCAAACAGCCGAAACATACGCATAACCCGCAGGTCGCGGCATCAAATCCCGGCTGTGACGGCTGCATTTTCGATGGAAACGAAAATACTGTATCGACATGTGCTCCGATTTGGGTGCACGTTATGGAACCCAAGTGGTCGAAATTTCCAGGGTCCTCGAATACGGCGTCTCTCATAATCATATAGAGTTTTCGGGACGCTAAACCCCACAAATCAATCAATCGATCAGAAGCTATGCAGCATAAGCTTATGTCTGATGTAAAACACACGGTCATATTGTGGAATGACTACCTGCAAAACAAAGCGGACTGCATGAATTCGTTTGTGTGTCCTATTTTTTTTGATCAACTGCCGTATTCATTAACCTTACCCTCCCACTTACAGCCATCTAGTCTTCGTTTCCGGTATTTGCATCTAATTAGCCTACTCACTGCCCCTTACGTTTCTTTCTCTCGTCTTTCTCACGTGCTTGACGCAATACGTCCGATTACATCATGTGTGTCACATTCAATTTTTTTCACTTGAAAGTATATGTTTGAATTTTACATTTGTATATGTGGTCCAACATTTTTGGTTATGATTTTCACGTGGCAGCTTCCTTTGTTCGCCACAAAAAATTTTTATTCTTTATTATTTTTATTATTTTCTATGTGAACTCTCTCATAGTAGGTCCTCGAAGTGTTTGTCATTGTCAGCTACACAAATGACTGCAAAAGAGAAAGTTGTACATCAAGAAAACTATATAAAGCCTGATTGGTTGTCAATTTATTGTCATGAATTCAAAATGGTTGAACCAGTCTCAATCTTATGAAGGAAAATGTAGATGTCCTGATGTAACATATACATGTAATGTGGCATCAAAGTTATAATGGCTTCCAATACATCATTCAGAGTGTGTTCTTGGACAAGTTTGTTCATGCTGAGGAAAGGTTGAGGACGCAGCCCAAGTAAATGAAAGAAGAAGAGGACAAGATAGAACGCCAAGTTGGTGCTTGACGTTCTTTATTCCTTCGTGTACGTGGGTTTGTCTACGTGGGTTTCATTCTTGATCTTTCTACTCATGCATTTGTAGCTAGTGTATTAAAAACAGTGTGAAAGCAATTGTTGCAGAAAACAATGGTTTGGTTGAGCTAAATTTCTCGAAAAAACGGTGAGACAAAAACAGATGTCTAATGATGTTGAGCATACTTCAGAAAGCTCGTAACGCTTGAGAAAGCTCATAGATCCCTGTAAACAAGTTATTTTTATTAGAAGTTTGAAGCTGCAACTCTGAAAAGTCCGACAAAGCTACTTCAATGACAAGAATATACTCAGAAGTCGGGGGTACCTTCAGGCGTGCGGAAAACAAGACATATCGATCTACATTCTACAAATATAGAAGACGTTCATAAACAGCTTATTTATAAGAGAATAGCACAGGAAGAAAAATGTGTGAATTGGCTACCAAACAAACATCAGTTACTTTGTTGCGATCAGCGCACAAAAATTAGTTTCTACATAATCATCAATCAATTAATTAACCAAACTTTATTTCCAACAACATTTTACAACTTGTTAGTGGTCCTTCAGGCAAAAAAAAAGCTGTGAAGCACGCCCACTGCATTCTAGTAGGCCTTGAGGCAACATAATGGCATGTATGATATGCAGCCATGTTTAAGCGACTGTTACACAAAAGAACGCTTGTGAATACTTACATGAAAATGCCGCCAAAAATTTTCTCTTTTTCAACAATCTAATGCACGCTCGCTAAAGAAACTAGCCCCGCCCACTTTTATATGTAACTTGGGGCCAAGGTATGACGTGCTGCGCGATTTTAAATAAACACTTCGTGAGCGCCACTGTGCGCATCGATTGTTCATAGTGTTTGTTTCATAACTCCCTCTGAAAAAATTATGAACCATTTCCCCGAAGGTAACCCTCATGAGATGCGAAGCAGCAGTGGTGCACTCAGCGCTGACCCGGTTGGAATGGTCGTCGACGTGGGTGCTGGAAGAAACGTTTGAAGCAAAACTCGGTGTAGCATTTACTCGAGTAAATGTTTGTTTGAAACGCAACTGCAGCTGCCAGGCATCTGCGGGCGCTGAGGCGAGCTTACTGAGGTTGAGAGAGAGAGTGACGTCAGTGTGCACCTTCGAAGAAAAGCGTGCGATGGGAGTGGGGCATCAGCGCTGAGCGGTGGCGTGACTTATATGGCACTGCTCCAACACCTGCGGTGAGGGGAACACGTTGCGGTACGTTCGTACGAACGCACGTACCTACGGCGTTACACACGTGAATCAAAGAGCAGCTTTACATGTAATATTTCATAGGAACTAGCGTAAGTGGGCAGAATTAGGTTAAAGTGTCCAAGAATGGCTTCCAATATGTGCACTCCGACAGTGATGTGAACTGAGGAGTAAGCAGTAACAGGCAAGAAACAACAATCAGAAAGCACAGCCAAGATTTTCGCTGTCTTGTCTTCGCATCACAAACGGGCGGTGAAACCAGGAGAGGCTTCGCTTGACCACGTGACTCCCATAAACGGATATCAAGGTGGGAGATTCTGGACTAGAAGGAGGCCCGCTTAGCTCTTGGCGCGGCCCAGGGTGTACGTCAGGGGAGCACGGGCGATGACGTGGCGTGCCGGTGCTTCGTGATGGGCAGTGGCAATAGTAATGGGCGCGGCGTGCAATGTGACTGGTGCTGCGTGCAAGGCGACTGGGGCTGCGTGCAAGGCAACTGGGGCTGCGTGCAAGGCAACCGGTGCGGCGTGCAGGGTAACTGGTGTGGCACGGAGAGCGTGTACCACTGGAGGCGCGTGCACGACTGGACGGGCATGGAAAACTGGTGTTGAGTGAACGGCGGTGGGTGTGGGAGCTGGACGAACGGCCACGGTGGAGGGCTTGGGTGCCGGTGGTGCCGGAGGTGGCTCTACAGCGCTGGACACGAATGGGGCATCAGCTGGGTTAGAGGTCTTGGTGCCCGGCTCGTTGGTCTCGACGATGGCCCGGAAACCGTTGGCGTCAGCCACGTAGCGCACCGTGCGGGTGATGCCATTCGGATCGGTGTAACTGTAGGAACCGACCTTGTTATTGCTTTCGTCACCGGTCTCTTCGTGGCTGATGCGGGTGCCGAACTCGTCCGTGGTGTCGTGGTTGAAACTGTAGGGTGATGCCGGCTGCGTAGAGGATTTGGAGTGAAAGAAGGGAAGAGAGAAACGAGAAAACAACAATGCCTAATTTGAACATTGAAATTATTCTAGCATATAATTATCATCTGTTCTGTCTATCGCATCTGCGTTTCATCAGATTTTTACATCGGGCTGTAGTGCTGAAAAGCAGCACTATGCCCCGAGAGAAAGTAGTGCTGAAGAAGCACACAAGCTTGAGGAGTCCTGAATGTCCGTTATGCTACCCAGAAATTGCTAGAATGCGTTGCTGAATGTAAAGCCTTAATTCAGTGCTGCAGCAGGAAGGTGTTAAGTATATTACCTTAATTTGTCAGGCAGAGACTGTGCAGCATCTGTTGCAGAGCCGCCCTTTGACGAACGTAGCTAGGTCTGACTTTTCCGTAGTTGGCAATCGTAATTACTTTTTTTATTGCTTGTTAACAGTTAGCACAATTCAGGTGCTAGCTATGAAATACATACGGGCTTTCTTTCTCCGGGCGTGCCCTGTTGAAGACAGCATCGACTTTTCTAGCACCGTAGAATACATACTGAGCATAACACTTTTTTTTCACTGAACCTTGATTACAGGCTACTTTGTAGTTGTTACGATTGACCCGGGCTTTGTATGAAAGAACAATACATACTAATGTATTTGTCTTTTCCTTACGATCATCACATCATGCAATTAGACGAGACAGTGAGTTCGATCAGTTTATACACTCACAAGTTCTCCAGTAAGGGCTTGGCCGGCTGCATAAGCCAGCAGGCAACAGAGAATCACCTGAAAAAATGAAGCACACGAACGACGATACGTAAGTCAGGTTCGTGACCCCACTGGTTTCTTCTGTTCTGACACACTTTCGCTACATCACACGCACGCACCTAATTAAGGCACAATCCATACGATGTTCGGCGCACCTTGGTGATCATGACAAAAGGACGTGTCTAGAGGTGGTCCGCTCGAAAATCACTGGAGGCCACAGTGCGAAGGTCTTCACGTTTCCGCGCTGCGTGGCGGAAGGGTGTTTGGCGTTTCGTTTTAACCCGTGCACGTTTTTATACCGAGCTTTGCGAAACGTCCTTGCTGAATCGCAGAACGAGTGGGGCGTTATGGTTTTTCTTTGTCATCTATTCGTTTTTCTTTATTATGCACTCGATCGTGTTACCTCCACTGAAATTGCCGGAAAGGGCTTGACTTTTTTTTTCCGTGTGGCATGTTATCTTGTCGCCTGACAAGTGTCTAGCAATAGAAAAAAAAGCCAGAGAAGACAGCGTCACGATGGAGGGTGGAGAGGACGCGGTAGGCATCCGACAGCGGCAGCGAATTGGCAACGCGCATGCATTTTGCTCCTCTGTTCGTGTGTATTCGTATTATAAAGTACGTCCGGAAACTTGCTTCTTTTTGAGATAAATTTCCCAGATATGTCACTATCTCGGCTGTTCTGCGTGAAACGCGGTGGTTACGCGATCGGTATGGTAATAGAGCGGATTCCGGTGCCGCCAGAGAGAGGAAACGTCCGCGCTGCACCAGTTTCAGTGCCGTGTATATTGCTATTCAGTGTGGCCAATCGTTCCACAGCATGCATGAGTAGCATCGCAGATGAGAAACCTTCGTGCGTCGTGAGATACATGCGTATCTTATAGTCGGTATTTGCGTAATTGCCGGAACAAGACTGTCCGCTAAAGTGCTGTTAATTTCGATCTTACACTCTCGGTGGGACATCGCGCTCTGCTCGGTTCCTCTGGCTCTTCCAAATGGGCGGCGCCAAGTTTCAATGCTTTACCACGTTTTCTGGAGTTCAACTCTCGAGCAACCAGTCCACCGACGCATGAGCATACACGAAGAAACTGGATATTCAGCTATAACGTCTTTACTCGTGAACTGCGTCACGTACTTATTCGATGGTTTACATAGGTGCGAAATACACATTAGGATGGAGCTGAAGAGAAGAAAGGAACATTTTTCAGCGAGGTGTATTTCGTTCTCAAGGCCCCAGAATAGTGGGCGAGAATATTTGTAGGCATTGTTTTTTGCACTGTGGCTTCTTGCACATCTGCTGATCACGAGCAAATAAACTAGTATTTTAATGATTTGCAAGAATATCGACTATCAAATAATGAAATACTAGGTATTGAGCCTCCTAAAAGACATGACACCTATGATGAAGTTTAAGCGTGCTGCAAGCATGAGCAATCGTTTACAGACAACACTTACAAATCGTCGGTTAAATGCTGCAAAATCGGACATAAAAAGGTAAGCTAGAACAAGGTCATCAAACTGTAATGTCAAATTCTGTTCTGGCAGACCTGCTCTCTATAGGAGTCCATAAGGACTCTAAATCTGGTCGTGGTAGAGTGTGCAGAACTTTCTAAGCACCTGTAACATGTGCTAGAAGTTGCTTTCCTTACATTTATTGTCGCGCTTACACATTTGGCTCTATACATATTGCAAGCTTTTTTTTTTTTAAATAGAGCACGTGATACTCTTTGGCATTCAGAATGTCCTTGCTCGGAGGCACTGGGAACGTCTTCTGTAGTGCTTGTTTTTTATTAATTAAAAGAAACTATTACAAGGCACCAGATATTGTGTGAGAAGATGAACATTTATTTTCATTGAAGCAGAAGGAATGCAAGATTTCATAGTGTCTGGTGGCTTATTCTTTGTTCACGCGTTGGGCAGCTGGCGGCAGGAATAATGTGTATGTTCAGCATTCAGTTAATAAACGCGCAGACATTTATGGTTGGTAGTTGGCTAGTAACAAATGTATGAGCAAGTGCAATGGCTTATTTCTATTCTAGCCCCTCTTTGTTGTTTGCTGTCCGCCTGAGCATCCTGGTCCCATTCACCGTGGTTCCTCGCAGCCTTTGCAGTGTGTGGGCTCATATCAGTCTTTACTGGCAAGCATCGCATTCCTGCTGCGGTCAAAAAAGCTTGTATTTTTTCTTATTTACGGACTCCTGGATTCCATTTTATTTGTCCGCGTAAGACCCACCCTTCGTTGATAAGGTTACGTGATCTGCATAAAGAACTGCTCCTATACATTTTGCATTTCACGTCTCATGTGCTAGTTTTCTCAGTCCGATAATAATAGCATATGATAGCATGACTCGCTGCAGGGTGCCTACATTTGGATAGTCTACAGTTTCAGATGTAACCAAGCCCAGAGATATGGTAGCTTTCTTGTCCGTTATAAACGACCGGACGTAATCATATATTCATTGGCCACAGTTGATTGAATCGAGGCATTTCCTTATCCCCTTGTGAGATATTGTAACGGATGCTTTCCTGATGTCCAGCGCCAGAACGAATTCGTTGCTCGATCTTCTGTTGGAGTTTTGTGCGTTATTTTGCAACTTGAGGAAAACATCCTGGGCTGATACAAGTGGCCCGAAACCGGTCATATTCACCGGTAGCAGACCCTTCTTCTCTGCATAGTCTGGTAATCTAGGTAATATTTTTTTTTTTGCAAAAAGGTTACCCAAGCATCAGATAAGAAAGATTGGTTGGAGATTATAATATATCTTGGCTTCCCTGGTCATTATTTTCTTCAAGTCCTTTCCACTCTACTAGAAGGTCGTCTATACCTTTGCGCATAACTTTTCAATAAATAAACTCATGATTTTTAGTAAAGCCACATCACAAAACATTCAGGAATGACATTTGTTCTTTTGTCTCACTCTGGAGTGGTATTTTTTTTTGAAAGCTGGGCTGCAGCATATATGCCGCTTCGAATGTTACGGGTGCATGTAACTCCAGTTTTTCCTTCCCTGCATATTTGCCATAAAGCAATTTGCATGCGTCCTGTCCGACATACATATTCTTGACTTGGTAGATGGATGCTTCATCGTTACCTTCCAGTTCATTTTTCAAAAACTATTTTTGTACTAGCCATGTCCTCTTGAAACTGTCAATCTGCTTGTATCTAAGAGTCAGAGTTATGTAATAAATAACAAAAATAAGTCAGCACCGCATCTCGCTGGAATAGAAAAGGTAATCCACAACTTTAAGAGAATATCACAGCCTTTTAATTGTGCGAAGTTCTATGTGTCATTGTTTTTGTTGCCTCTAAATCAACCATACTCCTGAGGATATGCCATGGGTTTTGTGCGTCTAAGGTCTTACTAAGTGTGTCACTAAACTGCCTCCAGTTACTGTTATTTAAACGACGTGCGTAGTCGTTGGCTTCCTCCGACAACTGAGCTATCCTCCTCTTTCATTTCCGATTAAGATTTTTTTCCCTCTATTTTTTTGTTAGGATTCTTCTCGCGTCCCGCTATTGTTACGTACGCACTGCTGTACCAGACAAAGACAAACTAGGAGAGAAGACAAATCAACATTATCACAAAGGAGGCCTTCAAAGCAGCATTAAGGATTTCGGAGAAGGCCAAACCCGAAAGGTTAAAAACATTGGGCATATGCAATACCTTTGAAAAGCATGCAGATACGGTGCTTCTATTTGAAAAAAAAAGCTGAATTCAATTATCACGAGTGAATAATTCTGGAAAAGATGTAATTCATATTGCACCCGCTATTTTCGACGTGGAAGCGGCGCTAAAAGATGCGGAAAAATGCGCACATTTAACTGTAGTGTCTATCGCCAGAAATACGCATCTGACGCATCACGCAGGAAAGAGGAAGGCAAAAGCAGACACTTTGCGCAAAGCATTTGAACATAGTCCTCAAGCCGTTCTTACAGATGTCAGTAAAGCGATTAGAGGTACACATGTAGAGGCAATCTTGTAGCATGAAATCACAGCACAATGGCGGTAGAAACACGTGTCACGTGAGTGGGTGAAGTCGTGGCAATAACCATAGCCATATTTAACGCAAACGCAGGGGAGAATGAGTCGTGGTGGCCTCTGATCCACAGGCGGCTTGCTGAATTTTTCTCCGAGGTAGACTACCTAATGTGCAAAATTTTAAATAGGCCTACAACAGGAGACATACACATTATATGGTGTCCTGCTCACAAAGGTCTGGTGGGGAACGTCATGGCAGACCTTATAGCTCGGGGCTTCACTAATCGAGCGACGACAACCACAAACGTTGAAAGCATTTCTAGTGAACGAGAGATCCTTCTCCAACAAACAGAACAACAAAGAGAGTATGTCTTTCCACATAAAGATTTGGATGGCCATTAGAGCAGGAACGGGAGACTCATACAAACCAATATCTCTCCATGTTTGAACCACGTGAGTAGAATTTATCTCACACAATATAGAGAAACATGTACATGCTGATCAGCTACACCGACACTCAGCCACATAACAACAGAGTGCACCAAAAAGACTACATACGTCGGAAGTCCACACATTACTAAACATGCGCACATTCTGCACAACCATTGAGAGGCATGGATTGCGGAGGCGGGCAAGCAGAGCCAAATAGCTTTGCTTCGCTAGTCCCGATGAGCCACTCGTGCCAGCGGAGCCCTGGACTGAGGGCTCGCTCACAACTGCCTGCACTTATCCTCCCCCCTTCTTTTTCCTGAATAAAGTTAATTTCTACTGGCGGGTTTCATGGCCATGGGCTACTTATAAGTAGGTGCGCCGGCCCGAACTTACGTACGATACACGCGGAATCGTCAAGATAATGGTTCACTAACTTTTGGGAGTTTAAGTATACCACCGACTCCAGTCGCCCCGTCTAAATCCCTGTATCTATTACACAGAAACTATCGGAACAGATTCAGTATAAATGGTTTTTTTTTTTTTGAACTGGTTCAGTTGAGATTGGTCATGCCAACGTGTCGCTGAGCAGAGAAGAAAAGTGGAAGAAGGTTAATTTCGGCGCTTCAGATTCGAACACGATAGCATTCCAGGCCCCGTTCCCATTGTCTTCTCATCGGCGTACCGTGCTTCAATGCTTGCTGGATACCTAAAACGTATAGTGTTCTTCTAAAGTTTCCAGGCCGTTCTACTGTGTTCCAATGGTAGTGTGTCCTTGGATTGTTCGATGGATACTCGCCGTTGAAGAAAGAAGCATTTGTGCGTGTGACAATGAACTTTATTCGTGGAGGGTCTGTACGCCAACTGTCCATGATGTATTGAGGCGAAGAAGAGTAAATCAAGTAGCTTAGCCATTGTTCTCAGCAAACCTGTAATACGGGATACGGAGCAGTTTTAGAGATATATCGCTACCTCACACCCTGGAGTACACCTCACACTCCTGGATCAATTAGGACAGGCAGCTAAAGCCAGTGGGGCCTTCGACATGAGGCCCTAGCCATAAACGCTCGAAGATCCGTCTTTCACAGTCTGTTTTAGTATACTTGCACGCTCTCTCTCCCTCTTTTATGAGGTTTGTCTACTGCATATACCAGGTAGCCATTGCACCCTAACTCATAATTTTGCGAAGTACTTACGCAACTGCACACCTTGAGGGTTAAAGTCTCAAATGCCTCATCAAACGGGAAACTTGATCGTCGTAAGCGACCGTCCCGCCACGTCGGGGACGAGCGATGCAAATATTATCACATGGTGATGTTCCTATATGACGTCATCATGATCACAAAATCATTACACCAAAAATTCTGGCGCGATGGCATCACATTGCGATGTCATAAGACTTTCGATGCAATTCGCTTACGATTTTCGTTGTCAAAGAGCGAGATTGGCTCTACCTGCCCTATGGAACAGTCGTATATTCAGGAACATTGACTGCTGGCACTGATGAGTGTGCTTGAGACGAAGGTAGTCACACCAGCTCACGTACTGGAGTGGCAAATGTTAGATATAATAATGACGTTTGTCTTACACAAATTGTAAGCGTGTGTATAGGCAAAACATGGTATTGGGACGCCTCAGAGTAGTAAACTTTTTACGCGCAGGGAAAGCAAAAGGCATGCCTGTTCCCTTTTTTTGTGTTTACTATGATAGTATGATAGACCCACCGCAAACAATTTGTTATGTCACTTATTGTACTAGCCATGTCCTCTTGAAACTGTCGACCTGTTTGGATCTAAGAGTCAGAGGTATGTAATAAATAACAAAAATAAGTCAGCACCGTAGCTCACTGGAATAGAAAAGGTAATCCACAATTTTAAGAGTATATCACAGCCTTTTATTTGTGCGAAATGGTCGTACTTTAGGATACGTCAAATTAAAAGTACTATCACACTGATGGGAGAATTTTTTATTTTATCTCGTTCAGAAAGAGAAAAAATATAACCGAAGCCTTCATTTCACAAATATCTGTCTTTCCCTTCGACTCCAATATCTTGACGTTTGCTTCAGGAATTCGCAGCTTTTCATCGTGGCATCCTGTATATTGCTGCTCTACATTAATGAAAATAACTTAAGCGCTTTTAGAAAGTGTGTAGGTGAGTGGAGCGTGGGCAATGGCCAGTGGTTGGGCAGAAATGGCGACCGGGGTCACGTGGTGGGCAGTTGCGTAGGAGACCGGAGCGGCGTGGACAGAGAAGGGGGCAGCATGTACGGCGTGGACGGCTGGGGTGGCCTGCACAACAACTGGCTTCGCGGCGGCGACCTTGACCTCAATGGGCTTGGCGGTCAGAATTTCAGCTGACTGTGGGACCTCGATGGGGTTGGCGTTGTACTGCGCGTCGGCGGGGTTGGAGGTCTTGGTGCCCGGCTCGTTGGTCTCAATCACAACGTGGAAACCATCGGCGTCGGCGGTGTACTTGACGGTACGGGTCACTCCGTTCGGGTCGGTGTAGCTGTAGGAACCGACCTTGTTGTTCTTCTCGTCGCCAGTCTCTTGCTGAGAGATTCGGGTGCCGAACTCGTCGGTGTTGTCGTAGCTGAAGCTGTATGGCTGTGGTGGCTGTGAAAGAAGGAAAAAAAAAGAGACCGATCATGCTGTTGCAGAGTACAATCAAAATGAATGATCTTTTTTTGTTTATTTTAACAGTATACAAGCGCGTGCATTTTCTGCTGTCTGTAATAAAAACTCCTAAAGCTACAGCGTTCCTTTTTTTTTTCAAGAAGCAATAGCTGCTTTGAGCCAGAGATTTTTCGAGGGAAGTGTTTTCCAAGCACGCGCAAAATCTGATGTTTGAAAATAACGCTCATTGACTACCATCAATACAAACTAACACACAAGAAAACTATCAGCTTTTCGCATTACGCAATTGAAGCTGCTGGTAATAAATAGGACAAACATGAAAAAATCGCATTACTTTCCCACTAAAGAAATATATATCACCTGTATTCTTTTTTTTTTCTTTTGAGCCTCAGCAGACCTTGTTGTAACGCTTCGCCCGGTTTCGTAATGCGCACCATTTAAGCGTTACATATTACAGCTTCTTTAGAAGGCAATTCTAAGAAATATTTTCTGGCTAAATGCAAATATTATGAGGGCACTTGGTGTAATTACTCTATGAGGTAGCATCGTCAACATCGTGCTCCCGTTTTCAGTCTTCAACGCGACTAGCCGTTCTTTTTTTTTTTTCATGAAAAGCCAAAGTGCTAAATTCGCATTTGTCAAGTGATCAAGCACTTATCTTTCTCCACGGTTAAGGAAACTTGTCGTGCTGAAACCGAGTTCACTTTATGCGCAATTCGTTTCTTCGACCAGCGTAGAACATCATTAATGAAGTGGTCTGCCCCAATGGCACGCAGAATACTCAGTGGCTGGCCTACGTGCAGTGGCGCGTTTTTTTTTTTCTTTACGGCAAGTTCACATCAAAATGCAAGAAACTGTGCTAGACAAACAAAACACGCAGTGTGATCTGCCTGTCTAATTATTTTTTCCTTTACTCACACTTAACATTATAAAAAAAAGAGAGAAAGTGATTTGCTTCAAATCGTTAGCCCATTTTTCCTTTCCTCTCAGGTGACCTATACCCAACTCTTTGCTGCGTTCAATTTGCAGAGCTGTGAGCCAGCATGAAACACATTAACACACTTTATTGGTACGATGTACATACGCTGTACTTCGGAGGACGTGGTATATTAGTAGTGAAGGTAAATAAGAACGTCCCTATAAAAAGATTAGCGGTAATATTGGGTCCATCAAGTTTTGATGGACCCAATATTACCTTATTCTCTCATCTTTTAAACGAACTTCATCCGCTTGTTCGTTTTTGCTTTGGCATATCGCGGGAAAAAGGCAATGGAAGGAAATGGTTTTTTTGAAAACCGTATATTTTGCATTTGGGGTATATGGTGTTATATAACTATTTCTTTAAATCACGCTTTACATGTGCAATCGAAATTCGTTAAGTCTCCTACGACGCAACGACTATTCGTGTGTTGGTAAAAATAAATATTTCGCGAAGAAGCGAGCATCACGTATTTTTCGAGAGAGAAACAAGACAAAAATGATTAAGAAGAATAGAGATTTTCTGCGTCCCGTGAATTTTTTTTTTTTAGATAAAGCCACATGTTTTTGTCGATGCGAAAGAATGATCCGCATGTTGGGAATTTTTTCGCAAATGTCATCCCTGAGAGCACGCTAGAACAAAAAAAGGATCAGACGTATGTTTAGTCAACATATTCAGTTTAGTATTACAATCACTTTGGCTTTAAAAACAATTTATTGGCCATGTTACACTGACGTACACACTGAAGCTTATTCATAAGCTGGATAAGAGCTTTATTTGAAGGCGGTACCAAGAACATTTGCATATATTTTGCAGAACGTAAACAAGAATTAAAAACCCTCCAGGTTTTGCAACATTTAGGCACACCAAATAATAATTGCTTAAGCGTCTTCATACATTGATTTGGCTATGGATAGTTTTATTTGCTTATTTAGCTTCAAACATACTTCTGCAGTGTGAGATGCAATCTTCCACGCATCATTACAAAGTAGTGCTAAGAAGTGACTCTAGCCAGCTCTGTACTTATTCTCGCAAGAAATTGAAATATCAAATACGTGCGGAGTGTCACGGATTCTGTAGGTCCTGATTAAATTGATGGTATTGATAGTAAAAAAAAGTCGCTGCGCCAAAAAAAAAATGACGGAGTCGTTTACTTTCAATTTTCTCAACGCTGTTTTTTAATTGTATTTCGAAAGAATCTGGCATTGCTAATTACAACAAAACTCTCACCAAAAAAAGCAGAAAATTAAAAATGGCCACTAGCTTTTAGGGCTAACTTTTCTTATATACTGCATAAAGAATACTTTCGGTGTTTAAAAGAAAGATCAAAGGTCGCAGCATAGCTGGTGGACACCGGAATGGCACACTCAACGAAACGCAAGAAAAATCTCACAAAGTGAGAATAATGTGGTGCCATCTTCGCCCCCTTCCCTGAATAAGTGGGTGGAATTAGCATGACGCACCTGTCTTACCACAAAGCCCCGACCGCTGCATTCAGACCGTAGTCACCAGATGCACACGTATTAACTACCACATCCAAACCTGGAGCAAGGTATGCGCTAGCCGCAGGCGCCTGGCTTCAAGAGGGCTCTCTACCAACGACTTAACGGTACTTACGCCATCAAGGTTCTCCTGCTGGGCAGCTGCGTACGCGACAAGGCAGCACAGGAGCACCTGAAACGAGCGACACAAACAGCATCATTAATGCAAGCTGAAGCCTTCTTCGCCGATGACGAGCTTTCCAACCGGCTGTGCAGCTACTGATAGAATAAATGCACTAAGTTGAAACTTGATCTAAAAGCGGGCACCTTAGAGTACATGGTGACCGGTTGGTTTGCTCACTCGCTGGAGTGGTCAGAAGTGCAAGCCTACTGTGGAATCGCATGCACCTTATATAGTAGTCTCAACGCATCGCAATGTAAACGCACGTTCGTCCTGATACAGCCTTCGTCACCATTTCTCTCAAGTCGCACGAGCAAACGCACGTCGAAGCTTGGCAGTGCTCATACCCTTCTTCTCTAGGCGACGCGGGGTGAGGGTTTCAAGTTGGGACGGGGTGAGGGTGGGATGAGAACAGTACTGAGCACGACCCTGTGACTGCCGAAAAACAGCAGTTATCAAGTATTTTTTAGGTGTTTCTTAATTTATTCTTCTTTATATTGTTTTTTTTGCCCGAGATGGTCCTGACCTTGCTACAGATTCTCTCGATGCATTCACAGAGATATTTTGCATTCACACAAACGTTTTATTAAATTTCACTGTAGCTTAATTGAGCAACCACAAAGGTAATGCACGCGCAAAACTAGTTATTTTCGTACGTGACTCTGTAGTACACAGTCTTTCCGTCGGACTTCTGTGGGAGATCCTGAAGCGAATGTTCTTTGGAATTCACTTGCCTAACCCTCAAAAGCTGTTACTTATGGTCATTTTCACACGACACGTGCGTGTGCAGTTTAGAACGCCTGAATACACGCGTGGCATCTCAGGAGCTCATAGGTAGGCTGCTGAATGCTCTGAACAAATAGTTCAATCGCTACTACCAAGAATTTAGTCTTTGAGAAATGCAGTGCATTTATGTTTCTGTATAATTTTACAGGAAAAAAAAATCATGACCGATGCACTCTGTACAGACCGTTCAGCAGCAAAACTGAAGCGTGCGCCGCATTGTGTTCCCATCTGCGGTATTTTATACGGTTTATAGAACATTTAGTTACTGGTCACGTCTGCCCAGAGATGCTTATTGGTAACTTTGCTGACCACGAGTGCTCTTCACCACTCTGGTGAACCAGGGCGTTGCAGCATTTTCCCAATTTCTGTATGACACGCGGTTTTTGCCCAAAGAAAGCTTCTTCTTTTATCGGGGACCAGTAGTGCGTCCTGGTGCTTGCAGAATTTCTGTGGCACACGAACTATGGGCATTTAGGCGCGCACATGACGAATGAAATATGGTCTCACCTTGCCATATGCACTTTCACGCGAATACACAAACAATATTTAGCTGACGTCTCCGTTTCAATAGCGGAGCTGTTTAACCCTTTAACCCACGAATCAATAAAATTGTAGACCCAAGAAAAAACCACTCCTGTTCAAAATGCACGCCTAATGTGAGGTTGTTTTGCTAAATTTTGCGGCAAAAGGACATGTGCTCTTGATTGTAGTTTGTAAACAAGATAACAGAGAGCGCCAGTTGATGCTTTGTTGACAAGAATGTAGCACGTGCGGTTCGCTGGCGTTCTCCGTGACGACGGATTTCCGCCTCACGTTCCAAGAGCTCCAACTAGGTATGGAAATCGAGATTTTTCAGATACGTAGAAGAAGGTACGACAACCCGGTGGTAGGAATGTCATGGCGTTGTTTAGTTGAGACGCCGAAGAAGCAGCCCGTTACCGCGTTCTACAGTATTGTTGAGCTACCAGGCAAGGGTTTCGGAACACCGCGTGCGTTAAAGAATAGCATGGCTTCTACACGCTTCGTGTCGCGTGCATTTAGCGTTGTAATTGTTAGATGCGGTAACATTTTCATCGCAAATAAAATCAGACAAGCTATTGCGTGTGCAGTCGGAGCCATGAATGCCGAGTAGTTTTTATCCATAAAAACTCTGTGCAAGGAATATGGTATGTTTCAAAGTGGAACTACGCGAGTGTATTTTCATACAACTCACTGATCTTCTTCTTTGCACGAATGAATAAAGACATCTTCTATGAAAAGTAGGCACGGAAAATGGGCTAGAGTGAGTGACAGATGAACGGACGGATGGACAGACAGACAAACAGACCGACGGACAGATGGACGGACGGACGGAAGTAAGAACAATTGGACGAACGGAAGAATAGAATAATGGAAGCATGGAAGCATGGACAGGCAGACGAACAGAAGCACGAAAAGACGAATTCACGGAAGCACGGACGCATGGACAGATGAACGCACGGACGGAAATAAGCACGAAGAAAGGGAAGCACGGACAGACGGAAGCATGGACAGGCACAAGCATGGAAGGACGTTCCGCCCCACTCATCATCATTACCTCGGTGGATATGCTGTGATATTTCTTTCGCACCCCGCCCTATTACCGTTAACTGGCAGATCAACAAAATTGCTGACCTCCTCTAACTCCTTTAGTTTTTAACGAAACATCATTAAACTTGATTTGGTGGTTTTGTGGTGGTTCTGACGAAGAATTAATTTAGCGAAAATTGTTTCTACTGTTTTTTCTTATCTTGCCAGTTAAATGGCTTCAAGCTGGGTGTTGGTCTAGGGGGATCGTCACCCTTCAGTTAAGTAGCGGAGAAATTCCACAGATATTGGTCAAGCCCCTCCTATCCCCACTGATAAACACTTTCGCAGAAAAAATCATTTGTACCCAGGGAAGATAAAAAAAAAGCAAGAGAAAGAATTAAAGACAGCAGAAAGAAAGGAACTAGAGGAAAAAATGAAACCAATGGAATACTAGGAGAAAGAGAGAAAATTTATGCAGCTCTATAACAGTGGTGCGAAGCCTGAAAGCAATCCGGATTTTTTTTTCAGTGAAAACTTTTATGAGATCTCAACACGAATCACGCGAGGCATCGTGGTTGTCCGCTGCCGCCGCCGCTGGTGTCCGTAACCACTATCCTACAAAATAACGAAAAATCTCAAATAAAAAAAAATGTCAGATCCCACGTACTGTGGGAATCGATGATATACGAAGCACGCATGAGGAACGTTGATATGTCACTTTAGAATCAACACAACGTTACGAGGCGGAGACGAATTATGCTGTACAAGACTTCCATGTCATGATTATCATGTTTGGACGTTTCATTTAATTTCGTCATCTATTAACGTCACCTGATACCAACTTTGATATACATGGAGCTAGCCAAACGGCCGCGAGCGTGCAATGAGCGTAGCATGTATTCATGTTTTACATGAAATGCATATCCTGATTATCATATTTGGACGTGTCATTTACATTCATTGTTCATTCACGTCACATGATACCAAATTTGGTATATGTAGAACAAGTGAAACGGCCGCGAGAATGCTATGAGCGTAGCATGTAGTCATGTTTTTCAGGAAACGCATATTATGATTATCAGGTTTGGACGTGTCATTTACCTTCGTCGTCTGTTCACTTCCCGTGATACCGAATTTGGTACATGTGGAGCTAGTTCAACGGCTGCGAGCGCGTCATGAAAGGCCCAAGATTCTCCGACGCAACGTTAACGCACGCACAGACTTGGCGCAGCGACGGCACGCTAGCAAAATGCGAGCACTGTATAGTGTGACGCCAGGCGCGACTGGCGTCCCTCGGTGCCACTCGGTGGCAACCGGAACGAATGGCAACATGCTGCATTTCGCGCCGACAACGTTACTTAGACAGCACCGCGTCTGCCTCTCTTCGTGGCGGAGAGACACCGTGTGCGTTCAAACGCGCATGCGTCAAAGCAACGCAGCGTGTCGCGCGCTTGCGAGTATATGGCATGTAGCCAGACACACAATGCACGACAGTGGACAGATCTACTTATCTCTACTAAAGGGATATCGGCACCTGGCGTGGCTACGTCAGTGTGACGCAATAAAACGAACACCGGCGCGCACGCACGCCGGCTCACGTCGAAGCGTATTGGTGCCTCGTGTGTGCCGTGTAATAATGTTCTTACATGGCACGCCTCTCATGATTAATGTGTTTGCATCAATCAAATGCCTTCTTCATTCATTCACGTGACGTAATACTAAATTTCCGCATATGTGAAGGTAGCAAAACGGCCGCGAGCACATTATGAGTGTAGGACGCAGGCATGTTTTTACATGACACGCATCTCATGATCATGATCTTTCCACCAGTCACGTTCGTCATTCATTCATGTCCCGCAATACCGAATTTAGTTCACGAGATGCTATCGAAATGGCCGCGAGCGCATCATGAGCATGGAATGTATTCTTGTTACATGACACGCATCTCATGATTATTATGTTTGCACGAGTCACACACCTCCGTCATCAATTCACGTCACGTGATACCACATTCAATATATACAATGCTAGCTAAACGGCCGTGAGCACATCATGAGCGTGGCATGTAGTCATGTTTTTGCATGACACGCATGTCATAATTTTTATGTTGGGGTCTTTCGCTTGTGTTCGCTATGCAGTCTTGTCATGCCAGACCAGATTTGCAACATGTCATGTGAGCGAAACCACCGTAAAACAGCAAAACCTTGAAATGATAATATTGACATTCATGACATACATGTAATGATTTTAGTGTTATGAATCAGCTCCTATGCTCGTCCTGTAGTCATGGTATGCCATACCAATTTTGATATCGATACTGTTATCGGAACGGCTAGGAGAGGTAAAAGTCGTAGTAGGTGGCCAGATAGATAGATAGATAGATAGATAGATAGATAGATAGATAGATAGATAGATAGATAGATAGATAGATAGATAGATAGATAGATAGATAGATAGATAGATAGATAGATAGATAGATATAGATAGATACGCTCAAAGTCGCCAAAGTTCGGTAAGAAATACTTTGAATTAAAAAGCACCATGGACATAGTGAGATTCCAACCCTGGTCCAGTGCGTCCAGCCACAATATTCCGCCGCTGAGCCACGTGAGTGCTTTTTTTTCTCTTACATGGTATTTAATACAAATGCTGTTTACGTATATACATAGCGTACAACATACGCAACGCCACTTCGGCAAATGTACAATCAACATGACAAAGCAAATCCATACTGCACTATCTCTATAAAGAGGTAATCGAGCAGCACACTTCATGAATTTTATGAAAAAAAAAACTCTGTATACCAGTCAGGCTGAAACTGCAGTTGTATACAAAAGATTTGTAGCTGCACAGTCACTTGTACAAAGTGGCATCACGAAGGCACGATTGGTTCCGCATGCCTGTCCGACCAGC